TTTCCATAAAAAAGTTGAGAAGAGATCAATCATATTAAAGGGAGGGATTTAGGTATAGAAGTACCAAATCAACCCTTCACAGGGCCCGACCTCCCGAACCAGTACACAGTCCGGAGGTGGCACTTGGCTCAGCACTTGCACTAACCCTCACTATAGCGCTGCTCCACATGAGCTCCAAACCAAACCCGCTGATGTGGCCTTGAATCCAACTTCTCATGACAGCTGTCAGCTGTCCAGAAACAGACTGCCACCTGCAGAGTGGCTGGTGGGTTCAAACCACCAAACTTTTAGATGGCAACCAAGCACTTTATCCACTGAACCAAAATACCATGCTCTGATCTCCAGCCTTCTCACAGGAAAATGTGCCACACAAACCATCTGGTGCTTTATGTATTCACAGGGCCATCTGGATCTTACCATATTAAAATTTTTAAAAAGGTCTATTTCTTTGAATATATTCCTTTTCCTAACTCTAGCTGAATCCAGATGTTCATATCATAATGGGGCTTGGTCTAGGGTCAGCTCAACTGTATGTTACAATGAAAATCCATACTTCCTCTCTCTCACTTGAGAAAAGGAGAGGTGTGCTTCTGTGAATGTAGAAAGGGTCTATGTATATACCGCACTTACAAACACAAATGCTGGTGCACAAACTCCTTTCTCTTCTAGACTTAAAACCTGAAAGCTGCTTGTTAGGGATCAAAATGTTCTCTTGTTTATTACAATCTAGTCTTGCCCATTTATCAAGCAAAGTCATATGAAAAACTGAAACCCAGAAAGAATCCCCAAGTTTTCTTTCCCAAAGTTTTCTTTTACTCTCCTCTCAGAGCTATCAACAAGTATACCCAAATCATACTAGATTTCCTTGTTTCCACCTAGGTCTTCTGTTGATGGCATTACATTTTGAACCCCATTAAAAGACACACCGCTTCTGATGTCCACTTAGAGAACATTCCAAAGCAAGTTTTTTAGTAGAGCCAAAGCGGAATTTCGAAAGTTTAAGTTCTCTGTAAGCATGCTTGTTGAAAATGACTTCATGAAAGAGTCAGCCCAAAGGAAGAGAAAAGCAAGGATGAAAGCAACAAGCTGAAAACACAACAATTTGAAATCCCAAGCTAGTCTGCAGTCATCTTTGTTGTTCATTTTTAAGTCTTCTAGAAGAAACTACGAGAGCACAGTGACTCCATAGGATAAGCACTGGACTGTGAACAACAAGGTCGGTGGTTCAAGGCCACCAGCTGCTCCACATGAGAAAGATGAGGCTTTCTAATTACACAAAGATTTAAAAGCCTGAGAAACCCTATATGGGGTTGTTAAGAGTCAGAACCAACTCAACAGCACTTAACAACAATAAAAGAAGAAGAAACTATTGACATCAGATCTGCACTTTAACTTAATCCAGGACTTCAAACCAGTTCCTCTGGGTTCAGTAATGGCTGACAAAGTGAAACAAGAATTTGTCAAATCTGGGTGAACTGGAACAATCAGTTGTTGTTGTTGTTGTTATGTGCCGTTGAGTCGGTTCCAACCCATAGCGACCCTGAACAGGGTTTCCGAGGCTGTAAACCTTCACGGGAGCAGAAAACCTCATCTTTCTCCTGCGGAGCAGCTGGTAGTTTCAAACTGCTGACCTTACGGTTCACAGCCCGATTCATAACCACTATGCTACCAGAGCTCCTTGGAACAATCAGTAGAGCAGGAAAATGATGGGTTGCCACCCTGCTAGAAACTTAATCTTCCTGTAGAAAACAAGGGCAATGGGCACACTGCATAGCAACCAAATCTCTTACTAGGCAGAGTGGGAAACCACAGTGTCCTGCTCCAACACGGCAGCCAGCAGCGCTGCTCTGAATGTGTGTCACTCTCCACAGTTCTGACTCTAAGTCAATCTTTTGTATCAGGCTCCTGAAAGGCCTCTCTGTGCCTTTTCTGAGTCTCAGCCTGTAAATCTCCCTGCCCCGGTTATCATTCTGCTTCACCCAAATTTTAAATGTGGATCTGCTCCGATTTCACTTTGTCAGTCATAACTGAATGGTGCAAACCAGTTAGAAGGCCTGCTTTAGATAGAACAGAATAGAGAGATGAGAAGACAGGTGAGCAAGGTGTGGAAACGTTCTTACCCATAGCTTAAAGTGGGTATATAACAATGTTTCCGAACCACTAATTACCCTCAGGATTGTTGTTGTTGTTGTTAAGTGCTGTTGAGTCGATTCTGACACACAGTGACCCTGTATAGGATTTCCAAGGAGCAGCTGGTGGGTTTGAACTGCCAACCAGTGGTTCACAGTCCAGTGCTGATCCTACAGCACCACACCAGGAGTCCATAGTAATTGGTATTTTATACATTACAAAACAAGATGGCTAGCCAAGCTGGTCACTTGTCAGATTTAGCAAGCTTTTTTTTTTACCAGGTTTCTTTTCTGTCGGGCATCAGAGCCGTTAGTAGACTATACATACATGCTTTGCATCTCCCAAAGGACGGTGTAGTAGCAGCATTCTGCAAATTTGTCTTACACACTTACATCTCCCAGAAGACCATGTTCTCACAAATACTTTGGAAAAGACTCTAGACTAGACAGGTGCCCTGTACAAAGTAGATGAGATGAGAGTCTTTAGGAATTTTATGAGGAATTTAACACCATTGGAGCAAAGACAAACTACGCAGGACATCCTATGCTGAATTATGAGTTCTGCTCAAAGTGGAGAAAGGGAACAAATGAGGACAGCTTTCTGCCTGCTTTTCCCTGCGTTTGTCACATACCTGTTCCTGGAGTCGGAAATCCCCATAGTTGGCCACTTGAGTTGGAGGCTTGGGCTGAGCACTGGGCTCACTGTTGACACTGTGCTGGGAAACCTGGAAGACAGAAAAGCAGACTCCTTTAATAACAGTGCCTGGTGAAGGCCCAGTCTGCCCGTCAGATCTTCCCGTCACTAATGCTTCCCCTCCCGCAGCTCAGATGAGGACTGCTGAAAGGTAAGGCTATGAGTCATAAAAGCCCTTCCAGACAAGTCTTCTAGTTCCTAACTAACACCCATGGTTGTTGAAGCCAGCAGCTGGTGGGTAAGTGCTCCCAGAATGCCTTCTCTTTTCTTGTCAGTGTAAAGCGCGCGCCTCATCTCCTCTTCTTGTGGTTGTTGTCATTATTGTTGTTCACTGCTGTTCAGTCAATTCTTCTGACTCAAGGGGACTCCGTGTGCAAGGTACAACTGCTCCACAGGGTTTCAGAAACAGGTCATCAGGGTGAGGCACCTCTGGGTGAGGGTGGGGGTGGGGGTGGGACTGCACCACCAACCTTACAGTTTGTAGTTGAAGGCTTTAACCATTTACGCCCCTAGGGATTCCATTCCACTCATCTCATCCATTAAGCCTCCCTAGGAGGCTGGTGGAAGGCTCGATGCTGACACCAGTGATGGGGAGCAGAGGGACCCTGAAGAGGCAGACTTCAGTTGGAGAGCTGGCTTTACTAGCCGTGCCACCTTGGGCAACTTGCTTCACCTCTGTACACCCCAATTTCCTCAGCCTCTACTTGACAGGGTTGTTGTGAGGGTTAAATAATGCATGTGAAGTCCTTAACCCAAGGCCTGGTATATAGTGTAGATGCTCAGTATACATGACTAATGATGACATGAGCATGAATTACAGCCTAGGGAAGGCTTAGGATAGAACTAAAGCTTGCCATTTGACATACTGTGGTTGTTATTAAGTGCCATCGCATCAGTTCTAACTCACAGTGACCCTGTATAGTGCTTCTGAGGAGTGGCTGGTGAACTAAAACTACTGACCTTGCAGCTTAAACCGACCTTGTGGTCCTGTGCACTAACCCACAGCGCCACACCAGGACTCCATTTGACAAGCAGCAAGGACTTAAACACCTGTGGACTAATTAGCCAATATATTTTTTATTTTATTATAGCAAAACATTTATAACAGAGCACTTGTCATTTTAACCGCTTTTCAGAATACCGTCCAATGTCATTCATGATGTTCATCATATTGTGTGATTATCACCACTGTCCATTTCCAACTTAAGCAAGACCTTTCAGAGCCAGTGCCAATGCTGGGATACTTATAAAGGGGGTGCTTGCATGTCTATGTGTGGGCCAGGAAGAACGGGGCTGTTAATCACCCTTGAAGCTGAAGCATGGAGCCTCATGGGATGTGCATGGCTCAAAGATGGGCTAACAAGTGTCAACTAGGGGTTCAGCCGCTCCAGGAGATATGAGCTGCGCCCTGTGGAAAGGCAAGCTCCAAGCTGCTCAGAGTAGTGAGGGAGAAACCGTGGCTATGCACAAACAAGCTCCCTAATGGTTTCTGCCAAGAGGCAGAGAGGGATCTTTAAAGATCAAAAGTTTCTTCAGCAGTAATTATCGGAAGTGGGGCTCTGTCGTCCCAACCTATACCACTCTCCACAGCTTGGCCGCTGCCTCTCATTTTCGACTCACAGAAAGTGTTGATGAGGAAGGTCATAGTAGCACATGTAAATAAGACAGAATTCATTTACAAGCAAAACACATTCCCCTGCTCCCATTTCTTCAACATATTGTTCCAATGGGAAGACTATCCTAGAGAAAGCATCCTAGGTCTAAACCACAGACAGCATGAATCCCATGTTGATGACCATTCATTTTCAGTTCACGTAGAATGACTACAACTCCTAAAATGCGGATGAAAATATAGGCACTCAAACTGCATGTGCTATACTGAAAAACCATGTGCCCTGGCCCCTATCTGGAGAAACACCCCTTCTGCTACAAACCACATGCAGCCCATAAGAGTCCACAGTGAGCTTGCACACAATGGCTTGGGGGATTAGTGAGGAAACTGCTTTCTCACAAGAGGCTGACTGTAGAAAGAATAATACAACTACTCTCTGCTCTCTTCATCCTAATGTCATCTTGGTATACTGTTCTGTGACAGTCAACCATTTCAGCATGGCACAATGGTAGGACAGCTTCCCGACTGTGGAGAGAAATCCACAGCAATGCAGACTGTGTCCTACCTGTGATGGACAGGGTCTCGGAGGGAGCGCAGGTGGCTGGGGCAATGATCCTGACTTCACAGCTGAAAAGGATAAACACACCCTGTTAAGGATCACTAAAAGTCAAACCCAAACTAAACACCCTTCCAGCTTGGTAACTAGTGATAATAATAGCACCTGACACATTTATGTTTTTCCAATTTATTTGAAGGTGTAACTAAGTGTGTGTGTGTGTAAGTTCTAATCCTTCTGTCATTTTCAAGTCACGCCCCAAATCCAAGTATTATACAGGTTGTGACGCTCATGGCAGTGTAAACACAGTAAGGAAATGACACCCTCTGCTCAAAAGACTGGAAACCCAGGCCTGATAGTAATTGTTTGGTCTCCAATAATCTCTGCCCTTTGGCTTCTCTCCTATTTCTCTGCATTCTTGCCCATTAGCTCAGTGAGTAGGCTGCAGAAATTAAGGAGGCTGGAACTTAAATGGGATGCCCTGCCAGTCTGTCATGCCCTGTGCAAGGGCTGACAGCAGTGGAAGGACGAAAATGATGGCAGGGATTCTTCCAGGATCTCAATTTTCTTTCCTCTCTCTGATCCCTGTGATCAGGGAGAATTACATCAATTGCTAAAAATATCTGGCCCTACTTAAAAGATACTTTTGAGAGAACATCTCAATCTAATTTCTTTTAAATTTCATGAGAGAGGAAATTTGAACTAAGCCAAGAATGTCTGAATTGAAATTTAACAATGAAAATAAACACATGCTATGAAATTATAAATAAAGCTCATAATCACACGCAAAAAATAAGTTTAGCATCATAAATTGGCAAATTGAACCACATTCTTTACAAACGCTTTAGAAAAACACAACATGCAGTTTCTGCAAAGCTGTAATAAGCATGCTAATATGAGATGATCTTCTTTCTGAGCCTTAAGAGGAAATCATAGCAACATACCAAGAACACAAAATATTTCGCAAATCACTTTAAAAAAAAAAAAAGATGGAATACTATATATTTTTTTCATCATTCAACAATATTTGCTTCTATTCCCTCTGTTTTTGTTTTGGGTTTTTGTTGTTGTTGTTGTTATGTACACAGAAACACTCAGGAATATATAACCAGTTACACAACCAAAGGGCACATTCTGCAAGCCTGCCTTTTCTCTTTCCATGAGTCTAGAGTCCTCAGCTGCTCTCTCTCTCTCCATGTCCTCATCTCTGCCTCCATCTCTGGTGTCACTGCTTCTATGGACAGGGTGCAAATCACTTTTGATTTGCCCTAGTTAGATCAGATAATGAAGTCCTAGTGTGGCTCTGTGGGATAAAGCACTGGACCACAAGGTAGGTTTGGACCACCAAGTCGGCAGTTCAAACTCACCAGCCATGCTTTGGAAACCCTATACAGGGTCATTATGAATTGGAACTGATTTGACGGCATTTAGTAGCAACAACAGATCAGACAGGCTAGAAGATGGGGTTCAGGACTTCCCACAAATGTAACTGAGAGTAATGTCACATACATTTTCATTCTGAGCCAGCTCATAGATAGGGTCCAACCATGTCTGCCCATCTGTGATTTCTCTCAATCTATCTTTCATTGAAATTTATGAAACCCACCAGTAGGTCAAAACTCCAGAGGTGGTGACACTTTGAATAGCCACCAACAGATAACAGAGCTTGTAGCAAAAGAGAACGGTAAAAACAAAACAAAAACAGTGCTTGTTAGGATTTAGAGGTTTATTTCTGGTTCCACAATAACTTATACTGGGTATGGGACAGCGAGTAAGACAAGGTCACTGTCACACACACAAAAAAAAAAAAAAAAGAGAGAGAGAGAGAATGACAATAGCTTTCAAGAATTACCTTTCTTGGGGTCCTACTCTGTAGGACTTCCCAAAATGGGCCTTTTAATGACCAGTTACTTCAAAATACAATGCCGCACACAGAAATCTATGCAGGTTTCCAAGGGAAAGGACAAGAAAATGCACTAGGATACGGTTGGTGCGAACACAAATGCTTATTAACCAAAGGGGACTATGCCAGAAACGATAAGCCATTTCATTGTTTAAAATTATTGACTTCTGCCAAATAGGCTAGTAGAGTTCAGATGTATCCTCCCATTTGAAACAAGCAAAAACAAACAGATGAAATACATAAAACAACAGTTTTCAAGACACTGAAATAAAATGTATAAAACAACAATTATTTAAGACGCTGGATAAAACCAGGCGACCAAGGGCAGTAACCCTTTGACTGGACACAAGAAACAAAGGAAGACAGTCATAAGACTATCTCATTGCACTGGCTGGACAGTTTCTAGAAATAAGCCCCAGAGTCAGACTTGTGTCTGACTAATTCTGATTAATGTGGGTTTGTTTGTTTTTAACTATTATTCAATTCTTAAGAACCCTTTTTATTGTGAATTGAGTGAAGGTTTACAGAGTAGATCATCAGTCTTCCATTCAATGAATTACAGACATTGCTTCATTACATGTACCAACACAGTATTTACCTTTATTTATTAATAAATTAAAAAAAGACAATGTCTTCTTTTTGCAAAAGATGATGTGCGGGTCTCTTTCTGAAACCATTTTTAGATAAAATTCTATCTGATGAATTATGATGGCAATGGGAATTGCTGCACCCGCTGAAAGAAGTTTGTTGATTCCTCAGATACAATTGAAAGCAGGAGCTCAACGTATGTACACAATATTCATAGTAGCATTTTTTGTAGTAGCCAAAAGATGGAAACAACCAGTGTCCTTCACAAGATGATGAAGCAAATGAAAGAGTCCCATACAATGGAATATTACTGAGCCATAAGACAGATTGAAGTCCTGATACATGCTACAACATGGATGCATCATGGAAGCATTATTTTGAGTAAGAGAAACCAGACATGAAAGATTTTATGATTTTGCTTATGTCACACATCTACAATAGGCCAATACCTAGAGAGGACAAGCAGATTAGTGGTTACCAGGGACTGAGGGGAGGCGGAAGTGAGGAATGATTGCTGAAGGCACAGGGTTGCTGTTGAGTGAAAACGTTTTGGAAATAGTGATGAAGGTTGAACAACACTGTAAATGTAATTAATACCACTAAAAAGTACAAAAAATAGTTATAATGGCTAGGCTTCTGTTACCTGTATTTTACCACAATAAAATTTTTCTATAAAATACTCTATACAATTTTTTGTACTTTTCCACAAAAAATATTTTATGCTATTGTTTTGTATTTATAAAATACAAAACATCTATCCATCCACTAAAACTGATGTTGTCCATACGAACATTTAGCCACATGGGAAGAGATTCATAATATATATCTTCAGAACAAAAGTCACAATATATACAGTATATATAATATTACAACCATTTATAGTAAAAATATAGATGAAATTCACCAAGATGTTAACGATGTTTATTGGGGCTATACAGTTTTTTGCCTTCTCTCCATTTGCATACATTATATTTGCATATACATATTTTCATTCAGATCCTGTGTTGTTGTTGGTAAGTGCTGTCCAGTCAGCTCTTATTCATCAAGACCCTGTGTAGCGTTTCCAAAGAGCGGCTGGTTAGCTTGAACCTCCAACTTTGTAGTTCAAACCAACATTATGACCAAGTAGTTATCCTACAGCACCAAACCAGGACTCCATACCACTTGCTAAAGTTCTCAATAATTCAAAGCAATTTGAGTTAAAAGACATTTAAATCACCTACAAATACTAATCACAGTTTTGCTTCTTCCTTTCAGTACTTTGACCTTTTTTGGATGGTGAGCAGGGGCATTACTGACTTGGCTAGTACATCTACCTTAATGCTGAATTCAAAGGCTGAGAATGGGCATACTTGCCTTCTCTTGATTCCAAATATTGAAAGCTCTCACTATTTCAACAATAAGTATGGTGTATGCTCTAAATTTGCTAAGTATTCTTTACCAGATTAAGGAAGTTTCCCTTTACTCATTACTGAGATTTTTTTCATGATTAATTTGCTACTGAATTTTAACCAAAGCTATATCTCCATAAATTGAGATGATGGTATGATTTTCCCTTTCAATTTGCTAATAAGGGGGAGAATTCCATTAGGTACTTTCTAGTTTCAAAACATCCCTACAGATTTATGATGTTTATGCGTTCCATTTCATTTTTGACAATTTCCAATTTTCCTAGATTCATACTTCATACATTCCATGTTCCAATTATTAATGGATGTTTACAGCTGTTTCTCTTCACTTTGAGTTGTGCCCCATCAATAAATGAAGGTTCAGCAGGCTTTCCTCCCATGGGCTTTACCCCATTCGCATCATCACAGTCAACTCTACTTTGAGGAGGCAGCTCTTCCCCAGTAGAATTTTGACTTCATTCTTCTTGGATCAACTATCAACATTCATGAAAGCAGCAGTCAAGAAATCAAACAACATATTGCATTTGGCAAATCTGCTGCACAAGACCTTTTTGAAGTGCTGAAGAGCAAAAACGTCAGCTTGAGGACTAAGGTGCGCCTGACCCGAGCCATAGTATTTTCAATAACCTCATATGGATGTTAAAGCTGGACAGTGAATAAGGAAGACCATAGAAGAAATTGATGCTTTTGAGTTATGGTGTTGGAGGAGAATATTGAAATTGCCATGGGCTGCCAAAAGAACCAACAGATCTGTGTTGCCAGAAGTGCCAGAGTGCTCCTTGGAGGCCAGGATGGCCAAACTACATCTCTCATACTTCAGACATATTGTCAGGAGGGACCAGTTGCTGGGAAAGGATATCATGTTTGGTAAGGTGGAGGGTCAGAGGAAGAGAGGAAGAACCCCAGCAAGATGGCAGCATCAATGGGCTCGAGCATGGTAACAATTGTGAGGTTGGCCCAGGACCGGGCAACAGTGTTTCGTTCTGTTGTGCATAGGGTTGCTATGAGTCGGTACTGGCTCGATGGCACCTAACAACAACAACAACAACAGATAGATGATAATCCCAATTTGGTAAAGTTTTTAAATCTGCCAGATTTTGTTGGCAAATCTTCTGTTGGGAATTTTTACAACCATGTTTCGCTCTGTTATGCATAAGGTCACTAACAACTC